CCAGAGTCGGACCGTGGACGTGGTACATTCCCAATATATATAGTTTTAAAAAATAGTAGTGGAATATAGTCCGCTTTAAATTGTCATTTGCATGCATGAACTAAATCCCAATGTATGAAGCTGACATCAATATTCTATAAAAGTATAATTAAGTATCGCCATTGTAATTTCCCAAAATCATGGAGATTGGCGATGTAGATGGGGCTATTGCAAATTTACTACTTAAGTTAGTTGTGTAAAAAGAATCATTTTTACATAAAATTGTTTTAAGGTTCTACTTGACCTTAAATGACAAAGAGCTAATCTGACCTCGTTACCAGTGCTTGGAAAGCCGTGTTTTTTAATAGCCTACCTACTCCAGCCTCGGCCTCTGGGAGTTTCTGTCTACGACAAAGCTCGTCTCTAAGCCGAACCCAGCGTCTTGCCAACTCCGCAGCATCTGCTCGTTGCTGGCGCGTAGGCGCTTGCTGCTGGTGCCAGCGGCGTCGTAAAGACTCTGTTTCTGCCTCAATTTCCGTGCTTCCTGCAGCAGGGCTAGATAGGCTTCCTTCATCTGTAGATGCATCCAAATTTGCCTTCGCCCCGACCTCGCTCACTTTTCTTTTATGTTTATATTTTTCTTCCGAATCATCCCCTTTAGAAGCCCAATTACAGGGTTCGCCAACTCTGGCTCGCCGTAGCACGCCCAACCAATCTGCTTGAAGACGATCCAGACGTCTGTAGGCACCGGCTGCCACAGCTCTATGCAAGCCAGCAAGTCGGGCAGCAGTACTCGAAGTCCGGCTCGCCTCTGTTCCATCACCTGCAATAAGTGAGTCGACCAACCCGCGTCCATCAGTGTCGCAGGCAGTTAGCATGGCGTTGTGTAAACTGGTGAGAAGACGACGCAGCCCAGTGGTAATGTCGGGCGGAGAAGATGGTGGCAAGGGCGATAGTCCTGCTGGCTGTCCCGACGCAGACATCAAGAGGGTTCTTCGCTTAGCCAAAGCAACACGATGCAGGGTCAGCGCATCCTTTTTTAAAGGATAGAGATATTTAGATATTGGTAAGCCATGCATAAGTTAAGAAGCATACGAAATCGAAAACAAAAAAAAGCTAAAAATGACTGAAACACTTAGAAATACAAAGATATGACGAGCCTTAACATGGAAGCGTCAAATATAACCTAGAATATACAGTATCAGAAAAAGCAATAGTGAAATGCCAACATTCATGCCATTTATAATTGGCCACTTAAAATTTAATTGTGGAGCTGAATTTCATAAGTAAAACTGTGTGATAAAGAGATTAAGAAAGTCGACTAACCAGAAGGCGAGAGCAGGTTCTTAGCCAGCTGTTGATCGGCTTTATTGGAACATTCTTGCTGACGCTGACCCCGAGGCAATTTCCTTCTATTCCGATGAAAGCGTACTAAGCCCCCGTCCATTATACAATAGACATTATCAAAGCAGGCTATAGTTCTTACGAACACAATTAAGCCGAGTCAAGAACAGGATCATGGTTTTAGTAGTGAAGAAAGCTCTAATTAATTAGCACAGAACGTAACATCTGTCCAGAAACCCCTTCTCATATTCTGATTGCTATTAGACAAACTAGTAAAGAAGAGGGAAACAAATAGTTTTCGAGAAGGCTATTACAGTTTATTCAGTTATGGCCATTTTTAGAGAAAGATGAAAAATTGTCCAGATCAGGTTGTTGTAAAATACTACGTTCATGTGATTGTTTCAATGTTGTGGAGACCCATCGAATCTAAGTACTTGGTTAAAAAAAATCAGAGATAGCATGCCATGACAGTAAATTGGCGTGAGAATAAATAGTCTCAAGCTTAGCATTTTGCTGACTAACGTAACAAATGTTGGGAGTAATCATGAATATTATGGCAGAGGACGGAAGACTAGGCACGCTCCACAAGGTCTCCTTGTCACTCCTATCAAATTGCGAAAACAAAGTCAAACCAGTGCTAAGCATAATTTAGTGGCACCGTGGGATTTAAATAATGATATTAGGAAAATTCAACCATCAGTTCCTTAACAATTAGTGACATAGAGTGACCAGAATTCTTATAATAGTCTATCTCGAAGCGCCTTTGTGTGTCAAATAACTCCAAAAAATGAATGTGCAGACAAGACTTTCTTTGAATGCATTATCAGTCTAATTCATAGACTAGCGAGGATCACTAAGCTAGGAGTGGGATTTTACCTATAAGATCGATAAAGGAAAATAAAATTGATTATAAATACCAAATGTGACCTAGCTAAATTGGCTGATTCCTCCTTGATAGCTGAGGAGTCATCGCAAAACAAAATAAAAAGTTGCTCATGGGGCTGGAGTATAAATCACGTGAATTATGGAGACGGCTACTAATAAATGGGAGAGCATTTTGAATATTTACCTTGTAGATTTGAGAATCTGGTTCATTGAACTTGCAAGCGTTATCAAACATGAGGAAGAGATCTGCACAAAATTCGTCGAACCCGACTCCTAAATTCGAGTAGCCAGATTGCACAAGTAGCCTGGCTACTTGTTGCATTTCTACTGGCCGTTTGATAAACTCATAGTAGCTGGGAAGCTCAGCACGAGTCGGTAGACGCATAAAGGGCGCTGAAAGAAGGCGGCCGTCCACACAATACTCTCGTACGGTTTGAAAGAGTTCTAACATCAGACGCTGCAACAAAGGAAGTTGAGCATGTTGCTGGAGAGCGGCCTGCTGCTGAGCATGTGCTTGCTGCTGTTGTTGCTGTTGCAGCTTAAAGATTCATGACAAAGGGAAAGGTAAATATAATACGAAAGTAATGATATCAAAGAAGATAGTCATGTCACGAACTGTAATATTTTTTTAATCCTAAAAAGTGATTTATTAGATTATTAAATGTATTGTGAATAATTTTGGCACGATAATTACAAGTGAATTAAAAATGTCTGGTGCCCTTTTAGATAACTCACTCAGCAACATAGTTGAAAATCATGGTTGCTCAGTGATGCATGTACAATTCATGAGCCTCACCCTCGCTAATGGAATACAACTTTTTACCAATAAAATTCTAATCAGTAGGATCTAATCCTGTGAATTGCATATCTAAACTCCATCTCCTCTTCCAAGGCCTGGGGAAATTCCTGACACTGGGCTATACAAGGTCTCAGCTACAGCGTCGTACTCTATAGCTAGCAGGCTCGCTTAGCCCGATCTTCCTCGAGATAACGGTCAAGGGACTCCACTTCTTCATGTGCCGGATCTTCAGTGTCGCTTCTACGTACGCAAATTCATTGAGTTTCAAATAGGTATAATGGAAAAAAGGCAAGAACTCTGAGCAAAGTGAACAGCGTTAACCTGGCATTGAAATCAATACAAATTCCTACGCTGGCGTCTAAGGGATTATTTTCAGGCAGCAGCAAAAAAGACTTCCGCCGACTTAGAATCAATGCCATATCACTGCGTTGCTCTCATACATATCTGATCGTGATGTCTCTTCCAAGTGGCTAGTCATTATAACATTGCTTCAGAATCAAGACAGAAACAAAGTTCAACATAAATTAATTCGTGGCGTCACTAATGTCAACAATTGAAAATTGCTGAATCATAGGAATCAATACCAAAAGATTTACCAAGTAATAGTTAAGACAGTACATAGTTGGAACAATACTGAGACATTAATTTTCAGGCGTAATCCGTCCAACAAATGGAACCTATTTACACAATGAAGGTACCTACCAATTGTTGCTGGAGTTGTGCGTGGGCCTGCGCCTGCTGTTGTTGGTGTTGCTGACGTTGTTGCTGTTGTTGCTGGGCATGAGCTTGATGCATTTGTTGAATAGACTGATGTGTTTGTTGCTGAGAGACTATCATATTGGCATTTGGACTACCTGGAACCTCGGTTCCAGGTGAAGCTGCAAGCAGAGTTTGGCCAGCAACCCCCGAGGATAACAACTGCCTGAAGATGGATAAAGTTTCAGTATATAAAGTATTACTATATTGCATACGACTCACCAATCTTAAAGACAATAAAAAAAATCAAAGGGCAATCACACGAAATAAAAATAAAATATTATTGAATTAATTTAACCATAAGTAGGAATAGACAAAAAAGTGTATTGCCTTTTTATGTCCTAACCCGAACGCTATCTAAAAATAATCCAGGCAGATTCTCTAAATCGCAATTAAGTAGAGTTTGAACCGTTTCAATTGAATTTTTTATCCCATTAACACCTATAAAAGGTAAAAGGTTGAAGAAAGCAAAAAGCACGACACAGAAAATTTGTGGCTCAAAAAAAGTTTAAATAATTTCACGAAATATTATATAGTCATAGAGTTGAGTATGTTGGGTGCAAAAAGATTTTAAAGAATACCAACAAAGAAAATCAATTTGAAGATATGAAGACCAAGATGGTGTGGCTTTTTGTGTGGTGGCAGTCTCCTTTCATTTTATAAAAATTGTTTGACCTTGTTTTCGCAACTTGGTCATATTGATAAGAAGACTTAGAGGAACGCACCTTGTCCGGAGTCCATTTTATGCATGATCATTTCCAAAGTAGAACCGTGGACATGGTACATCCCCAAACGTTTCGCTGACATCGTCAGTGAGTATCGCTATTCTAAGCACCATAAAACAACCCGTCAAAGAGACAAGTGAAGCCGATCCTTTTACCAGACGTGTGCTAAACAGTTGTGGTATCTCCCCTTCTGCCCTTCATATTACGCCTTCACTGTTACAATTTTTACCGTTCTTATTTCGATGTAGTGCGGTGTGCTCCATTGAGAGACATGAAACCTTCACACTCCAACTGTCGTTCTTACCCCCCATTCATCCTTGTGCAGAGAAGCTGTTTGACCTTGTTTTCGCAACATGATCATATTGGTAAGAAGACTTAGAGGAACCCACCTAGTCCGGAGTCCATTGTATGCATCATCATTTCTAGAGTAGGACTGTGGACGTGGTACATTCCCAGACGATGCCAGAGAAACGTCTGGGAATGTACCACGTCCATGGTCCTACTCTGGAAATGATGATGCATTCAATGGACTCCGGACTAGGTGGGTTCTTCTAAGTCTTCTTACCAATATAATCAAGTTGCGAAAACAAGGTCAAACAACTTCTGTAGAAAGTTAAGTTGGTATATAGAGTAAATGTATGACTTGTAAAAATTGAGGAGCCGCGAAAAAGAAAGCATTGAAATAGAACCCACCAGCAATAAAAATAGCATTGACTTAAAAGCCATAGCATTAAACCAGCAGAGCAATTACTGAAATAACAGATAAACGAGAGTTAATGTGAGCTGTAAGCTAAATATCACAAAAAAGTCGAAATTACACAGGAGGCCTGGAAATCCTCTTAGTCACAAAGACTATTCCTCTTTCATTCTTCTTAAATATTATCAAAGTACAACCCAAAAAGGAAGCAACATACTGTGTAGTTCCCGCGGATCCTCTTCGATTGACCCAAGTTGCATTTGGAGTGCATTGGGAGTTGGGAGCACTGGGCACTGCTTCCTTAGTTGTGTACGGGCCAAGACTTTTAAGCTTTTTTTTGACCACGCGTTCTAAACAAACGGCATCGTTATATACACCCGAGCCCTCTTCGTTGTAGTGTCGAGCGTTGTTGCACATCAACCGAATATCCGCGACCATGGCTTGATGCGTCTCGTACTGTTTTCCAAAATGCAAAAAGGACATAAGGGGACGAAGATGGGACGCAAGATGTTTGTGTTTTAAATCTCGAAACTATGTATTTATGGCCAGTGAAAATGGATAAAACATGCAATCAACAAACATTTAGTGCTGTCAATGATGAGATATTAGTGAAATTATAGAATACCAAAAAGCTAAGATACCATGAGCTATCGAAAAAAGGGGCAACAGAAAATATAATAAGTAAAAAAGATGGAGTTAAAATCTAGTATTTAATTCGGGAAAAATTATGCGTTACCTCATTGCGATCCATTTTCCCCTTGATCATTGTCAAGTCTATTGGCTCGGGAATGACCTGGTAGTAGTCAGGGTACTCATCCTTTGAAGGGAGGACCATAAAGACATCCCTTGGAAAGTGACCGTCAGCCTAAATGTTAGTTCGATTGGAGGAATGGAAAGATCAGATGAGCGCAATTGTGAAAAGGTGTTATAGAGCTAATCGGAGCAAAGGGAAGATGTAGAAAAATTCCGTGATACTGATGAGTGTTAATAATCTGAATGTACCTTTGGAACTGACAAATTTCGCAAAGTCAATAAAAGTAATAAATAAGAAAAAGGGTGGATATATACAATAATCTGTTATTGGTCACTTCAGAAAGCTTTGAGATAACTTAAGGCAGAAGCAAAATTTGAACAAATAGGTGCTTAATTAACTAACCACGCCAAAAACCGAATTTATGCGATATCAACATGAAAATA